GCCATCGGCGTTGAGGTCGGCGACGAGCGGCGGCGGGAGGCGGTCCACGTCGTGCTTGGTCGGGAACCCGTCGTCTGACAGGTGGTACCACGCCTCCCGGAACAAGAAGTCGCCCTCGTGCTGCCGGAGGAGGAGGGGGATGGGTCAGCTAGGGTTCCGGATCGAATCGGAGAGGGGGGAGGAGGAGGGCTGACCTGGAGCGGGAAGAAGGCGGTGAAGGCGGCGAGGAGGAGGATGCCGAGGTCGCGCTTCCGCATCTTGGCAGCGGCGAGGTGCTCCGGCGACCGCCCACCGGAAGGATCTCGGAGAGGGAGGGGGAAGAAAGCAGAGTGTACCAGCGGCGGCCACTGCTGGAGTATGAGGGAGAGATGAGGAAAGTGAGAGATGGGGAAAGTGAGGGAGAGAGGAGGGATTTGGCCGAGGATACGAGGATTTCACCTACCCCGTACTTAGTAGTAGCGAGGGGTATAAAACCGCGCTACTACTATCAACTTAGTAGTAGCGCGGGTTTGTACCCCTCGCTACTACTATGGCATGTTTCGAGAGGGCACGGTAGAGACCATTTAGTTTTAGTAGTAGCGCGGGTTAAAAAACCGCGCTACTAATATCAACTTAGTAGTAGCGAGGGGTAAAAACCCGCGCTACTAGTAATTAGCAGTAGACCCTCGCTACTAGTAAACGTCTGCCTATAAGTTTTTCCCTAATAGTGAGTGTCTTCTTACATGGAGGTACCGCCTTCTCTTGAAAGTCAAAAAAGCAAACCTTAGCGGCTACGTCCACCAATCACCCTTAGATAATTGCTTTATACAAACCATCTCAGGAATGTGTATTGCTTCGCACAATGATGAACTTTGTCCAAGGTTCAAGTGGGATTGGTTCGCTGCAACCACCTACTATTATCTACGAAGATCATACTTATATTTTACAAATGCACACAAGTTATACTAAGAGCTATATCACAAAGCATATTGCTCCTAAGCTGTTTTATTCCCATGAACTGCAAAAGAATATGGACATAAATAGTTTGCTAACGAAGACACTCATTTATTTACCCAAGTCTTTACCAAGTTCTCTGTTTCATAAATATGTAAATGAAATTGGTATGATGCGACTTTGTGACTTGCAAAATTGAAATCCTATAACCTGTTAAGATCATCAATATTGCACTCTTTTGCTTTGTGAATTTTTTCTAACGATTTCTCATGTAACGTTTTTACGAGACAATATCAATGCAAGCATGGACGACATATGCCATTTTCTCCTTATTTTCTCACTGGATTTTTAGAAGTTTTTCATGGCAATATCGTATATTCCTCCTTAATTTCTCCCACAATGTTTTTGAAGATGATTCCAAGTATGATCGGTCGCAAGGACAGTTAATGATTAGAGGGTGTTTAAGATTTGTTTAATCTTATAATTAAATGATAATCCTTCCTTGTAAAGCGCCACTTGGGGTTGACAGTATGGCAACAGTACCGATGCTTTCCACGCCCCCACCAAGGGATGCATTTCTTGATCAAGTCTATTCCCCTTTATGATCATTGATGGAATGCAGTTGGTTGGATTGATTCATTTAGTTTCCACAACAACTCTTCAAAAGAACAATTGAAAATTGTAAAACGATTTGGCACTGCTTACCAAATAAAGTGGCGAAAACGCAAGAATCAGACACTAATAATTGGGTTAATTAGATAAATGCCACTCCAATTATGGTGATTCATAAAAATGCCACTGCAATTTCCAAACTTTGAAAAATGCCACTGCAATTTTTGTAAACTTTGAAAAATGCCACTACAGACTTCGAAAGAAATGGCATGAAATGACATTTTTCAAAGTTTGCAAATTGCAGTGGCATTTTTTGGAATCGCCAAATTTGAAGTGGCATTTATTAAATTAACCCCTAATAATTTGTTAATTCTCTGGTTTGCTTTCCCTAACAGCTACTACCCTCCCACTACAATTCATCCATGTGTCTTTTAGCAGCTACTAGTATTTTTTTTATAGTGAAGCTTCGGCTGGCACAGCTCTATAATATGGCCCAAACCAGCCGAGTCGAGAAAGGCACCACCTGACCGATGACTTGCACCAGATGAAAGAGACTGTCTGCATCCGAATTATGGAAGGACATAAATAAATAAAAATGCGATAACACACACTCAATTGGTCAAAATTTTGAGAGAAATCGGTACTCTATGATTTGATTCTTTATTATTTTTTATTTTACTCTATGATTTTGAGAGAAATCAGTTATTTCTAGCTAAATACTGCTAAATAACTGAGTATAGAACAAAAAGAAATATTTCTAGCTAAATACTGCCAAGTACCCAAGATACTTACCAAAAGAAAAAGATACTTACGAAAAGAGCAGTAAAGAACAAAGAAAAACATGCCCCGGCCGAGAAAGGAAAATGTTTACAATCATCCGGTTGATCTCACGCCCGCGTAAACCGTCTCCAACGCACGCCACGTGTCCTGCGGGGCCAGGCACCGCCCAACCTTATCTCCTCACCCCGTCTCGTACAGATCACCAGAGCCACCCAATTCCCCCGAGCTCGATCTCCCTTCGTCCTCCCCCTCTCGCCCGTGTTTCTCCGTTGACCCATCCTGGCCCATGGATGCATCAAAGCGCTGCGGCCCAAGCTCCACGTGGCGCTGCAAGCTACTGCCATCACCGGTGGTGGACTGATGCTGCGAGGCGGGGGCGCGCCCAGCACCCCGCAGCACCCGCACCGGCCTTTGCTGCGGTCAGTGTTCCCCGAGCGTCATCGACCGCCGATGTGGCTGGTGTTGCCGAGCATGTCGGATGCAACACCGCCGGTGCTATTAATGAGGAGTGCCGCAATTAGTGGATCTCGTCGGCGGCGGGGATGCTTCCAGGCAGCACGAGTGGTGTTGCGTCCTCCCAGATCTCGACGGACGGCGGAGCTGCAGTACAGCACGCCGGTGGGCAGCGGAGCTGCTGTTGCGACGGGGCATCTCTCCTCAACTCCGGCTGCAATGAAGCTTCACCACGTCGCCGGTGCTGCCACGCCAAGCTTCACCGGAGCCGCTGGTGCTTCGTTGGAGCTCTGCCGGAGTTGCATTGGAGCTTCCGTGGAGCCGCTAGTGCTGCGTTGGATCTCTGCCAGAGTTGCATTGGAGCTTCGTCGGACGCCGTCGGTGCTATGTTGGAGCTTCGTCGGACGGCGTTGGTGCTGCGCTGGAGCTTCACCGGACGCCGGTGGTGCGCCATGACGAGCTGCAGTGCAGCTTTTGCCAGGGGTGCAGCGGTGCTGTGTCGAAGCAGTAGCGTGCTTTACTGCTCTCGTGACTTTGTTATCATCGAACGGTTACCAGGGTGCTGATCGGACGGCTGCCTAGTCGGATGATTTCTCTTAAGAAATCATCCGACTGATTTGTAGCAGTCGCCGCCGAGAAAACACACATATGCATCCAAAAATGTGTCCCCCTCACGATGTTTCCAAATGCTTTTCTTTGAAAACTAGAATTGATTTCCTAGTTTATGTGACCGGAGAAAGAGTTGATTGCCGCTTCCTTTCTCCGACGACTGACTTCCGTCTATCGAACATTGAATATGCAGAGCACCTTCCTCTTCCTCCCTCCCGACGACGACGCGCCAGGCAAGTCGTTTTATAACCACGCAGCTCTCTTCCTCACTCTTCTATGGCTGCCATTCTCCGTTCTGCAGCCTCACAATAATTAAAGATCCTCCATTCTGAACCTTAATTATTCCCACAGGGTTTTGGAGATGATCCCAAAGATGATCGGTCGCAAGGACAAGCAATGATTGGGAAGAGTGTTAGGACTTATGTAATCTTGTAAGTAAAGGATAATCCTTTCTTGTAAAGAGCCCCGTGCGGTTGGCTGTATGGCAACCGTCCCGGCGCTTTCCACGTCCCCATGAACGGACGCATCTCTTCGTCATCTTTGTTCCCCTTGTATGATCACCAATGGAATACAGTTGGTTAACACTTCAAAAGAACTACTCCCTCCGTTTCCAAATATAAGTCTTTTTAGAGATTTCAACAAGTGACTACATATGAAGCAAAATGAGTGAATCTACACTCTAAAATGTGTCTACATATATCTGTATATTGTAGTCATTTGAAATGTCTAAAAAAACTTATATTTGAAAACGGAGGGAGTATTCAAAGTTGCAAAATTATTTGACACTGCTTACCAATTAAAGTAGTGAAAATGGAAGAATCGATCACTGACAATATATATGTTATTTCTCTGATTTGCGTGTCCCTTAACAGCTACTCCCTCTGTCCGGAAAAACTTGTCCCTCAAATGGGACAAGCTTTGGGACAAGCTTTTTCGGACAGAAAGAGTACTACTCACCCACTATAATCCACTAATAATCCTCTTCAGTGAAAGTGCTACTTATAGTAGGCGCTGTCGTTTAGCACGTAGAGAATGTAGTCTGGCTCGTTAATTAAGCTATGAAGAAAACGATGAAAGCTACTGCATGCGTCCGTACACCCTTCCGAATACATCACGTGTCTCTTAGCAGCTACTAGTGGCTTTTGATAGTGATGAAGCTTGACCATTTTTGATAACTGGCCCAAACCAGCCTAGTTGAGCCTGACCGATGACTTGGACTGGATGGAGAAAATTGTGAGAGGCTAGTAAAAATATCACACACATGGTCAAGTAGCTAAACCACTTGGAAAAAGAGCAGTAAAGAACAAAGAAAATCACACACATGCATCCAAAAATGTGTGCCCCTCACGAATGTTTCCAAATGTTTATCTCTAGAAACTAGAGAAGAGGTGATTGCTGCTTCCCTTCTCCGACGACTTTGACTCCAGTCTGTCGGGCTTTGAATATGCAGAGCACCTTCCTCTTCCTCCCTCCCGACGACGACGACACGCCCAGGCAAGTCGTTTTATAACCAGGCAGCTATCTTCCTCACTCTTCTATGGCTGCAATTCTCCATTCTGCAGCATCACAATAATTTAAGAGGAAGCACACCTGCTCTGAGAGTGCAGCCGTCAATGGCTCAGCCGGAGCAGAGCGAGCAGCCATGGGAGTACACCCTGCGGAAGTACCTCCTGCTGCTGGCCACCCTGGTGGTCAACGTGACGTACGCCGCGGGCTTCAACCCGCCGGGAGGGGTCTGGCAGGCCGCCTACGACGGCCAACCCGCCGGCGACCCGATCATCCGCGACACCCACTACCACCGCTACCTCGCCTTCTTCTACTGCAACGCCACCGCCTTCGCCGCCTCGCTCGTGGTCATCGTGCTCATCCTCATCCTCGCCGTCCGGCACGACAAGGAGAAGGAGAAGAAGAAGAAGGACGCCGTTCAGGTCATCAAGCCACTGCGGGTCGTCATGGTGTTGGACCTGCTCGGCCTCGTGGGCGCCTACGGCGCTGGAACCTGCCGGGATAGGATTTCCATCATCTACACCGCGGTTCTGGTGGCCGCTGTCTTCGCCTACATTGTAGTTCTCAAGTTGCTGGACCGGTGTCGTCCAAACAAGAACCCCGGCTCTAGCTCCAGCGGCGCCACCCCCATCTCTGAAACCAACAACGGGGTCAGCGCAACTACCACCCCTGACCTCGAATCTGACCGCAAGGTCGCTGAAAAGGCGTTGAAAACCGAAGAACAGCTCTGCAAGGTCCTGATGCTTCTCGCGACGTTCGCGGTGAGCATCACATACGTCGCCGGACTGAGCACGCCCGGTGGCTTCTGGGACAGCACCGGCGGCAGGCATCACCCTGGCGACGCGATTCTCAGGGACCAAAGCGGCCAGCGCCTGACCGCGTTTTTCCTCTTCAACACCACGGCGTTCGTGGCGTCCCTGCTCATCGCCATGCTGCTCATCATCGATGGAAAGAAGCTCCGTGACAAGACGGCTCGGTTTCACGTGCTCTATGTGTGCATCTTTGCCGTGCTTGTTGGCCTCCTCGGCGCATACGCTGCCGGGAGCTGCAGGAAAACCGACACCACAGTCTACGTGGTCTCCCTCGTCGGCGCCGTTCTTGCATACATTCTCCTCCATCTCTTCTGCAGGTCAGCGTTAAAATTACTGTCTTATTGTTTCAGTCCAGCATACAGCCTCCTCCATGGCTTCTGCAGTTCAGCGTCAAAATTATTTCCTTGTTGTTTCAGTCCAGCCCAACAAAATGATGGAAATCAACAGAGTAATGATGCTAGGTATGGAACGAACTGAAATCCTCTTCTTTTCCTCTGTTTGCAGTTACACTGCTTTCTTGTTTATTTCTCTGCAACTAAACTGAACTATGTTTCTTCTTCTCTGCAATGTATTAATGCAGTGGTAGGGAGGCTCTGGACAAGGCTCGCTCTCTTGTTCTACTGCTCGCCACTCTTGCCGCCACCATCACCTACACAGCGGGGTTGGACCCGCCGGGTGGCGTTTGGCAGGACAACGGTGACGGGCACATGGCTGGCGACCCCATCCTCCTCGCGACAAACGCTAGGAGGTACAAGGCCTTCTACTACTGCAACTCGGTTGCGTTTGTGGCCTCATTGGTGGTCATCATCTTGGTCCAGATGGAGAAGCTGGTCAAGCACCATGTGCTGGAGGCAGCCATGATACTCGACCTGTTTGGCCTCATCGGTGCATATGCCGCTGGGAGCTGCCGGAACGTGAATACCTCCATTTACGTCATGGCTTTGGCAGGGGCTGTCTTGATCTATGTGGTGATCCATGTTGTCTTCTTCACGCTGGATCACAGGGACCAAAACAACAACGACCAAGAAGATCAGTTGCTGGAGAAGAAGCGCAAACGGTTGCTCCTCTTCGCGATCTTGACCGCGACCATCACCTACCAAGCCGGCCTCACCCCTCCTGGTGGCTTCCTGCTGCAGGACGACAAGCTCGGCCACCACACCGGTGACCCGGTCCTCCTGTACAACTACCCACGCCGCTACCATGCCTTCTTCTACTGCAACTCGGTGAGCTTCATGTTGTCCATCGCGCTCATCATCCTCCTGGTGAACCCCAATCTGTACAGGCCAGCAATACGAAGCAATGCACTATCTGTTTGTACGGCGGTGGGCTGTTTTTGTTTGATGGGGGCCTACGCTGCCGGAAGCACCCAACACATCAAGACATCCGTCTACATCTTCGTGTTGGTGGCTGTGGTCCTCTGTGTTGCAGCAGGACTGCTGCTAGTATTTTTGTTGAGGGAGCTGAACAAAAATGGTGCAGCACCTGCTGCGCCATCCAGACCCACTGGACAGGAGGGCGGCCAAGAAGAAAACAGAAATGGCATCTCAGCAGCTGATGTGCCATCCAGACCCACTGGACAGGGGGACGAAGAAGAAGAAAACAGAGATGGCATCTCGGCAGCTGATGCACTATCCATACCTATTGAACAGGAGGAAGAAGAAAAAGCAAAGAATGAAAAGAGGAAGAACCATGCAAGGCGCAAATACCTGATGCTGCTAGGTATCTTGGTGGCGAGCGTAGCCTACCAGGCCGGCCTAGAACCCCCCGGCGGGACGTGGCAGAACAACGACAACAGGTACAAGGCGGGCAACCCGGTGATGCATGACAACATGAGGCCCCGGTACCTTGTCTTCTTCTACAGCAACTCCATTTCCTTTGTGGCTTCCATCGTTGTCATCATCATGCTGCTGCCGCATTGGCTGCCAGACGAGAGGGAAGAAGAATGGAAGACATGGTCGCTGAAGGTGATGAACCGGGCGATCAGACTGGATCTGTTTGCTCTCCTGGTGGCCTATGCAGCCGGCTCCAACAGGGGGTGGAAGACGTCTGTGATTGTGGGCGCGCTCATCATCGCCGTGCTGAGTTACTTTGCAATCCATATGATACTATCATGCACCGTTTGTCAAGGTAAGAAGACCCAAGGCACATCTGCAAGCTTACAGCATGTTGCCATGACGCATAAGAGCAGCAACCAGAATCCTCCAGCACAGCGTGATTCATTATCAGTGTGATCAGTGGTGTAGCTCCACAAACGTGAGGGCAGTCCACAAAGTAATCCCAAATTCAGCGCGACCGATCATCTACCTATTTCTCCCTGGCTCTAGATCTGTAATCATCTTAGCTCTGTCCAATCTCCCTGCTCCAGCTAGCTCGCCCTGTTTTTAGACTCCTGGTCTAGTTGATGTAAGCGGATGAATAAGTTGCATCCCAATTGGAGCATGCTGGCATTGTCTCTCGACTCGCCGGGCGTGCGGGCGTGTGTCTTAATCCAATGAACATGCGTGGTAGGTGGCGTTTTCCAGATCCTATATGCACTGTGACTCATAAGAACTTGAATGGGAAGTGCACGGGTTGCAACTACATTTGTATTCCGGATACTGAGGCATTTTGTTACTACTGAAACATGCTGTGTCACTAGGAACAGTCTCAAGTACTAGTATTGTGCAATCCTGATAATTACGTAGTAATCACTATTCACTGATCGAGAGGAACATACCTTGAACGCGGGGCAATTCACCGAACACTTGCAGGGCGCCCGATCCCCGCGTGCAGATGGTGGCAACCGAGCCAAGCAGGCCGCCGTCGTGCGTGCCGCCGTTGCCGTGGATCGATAGATACGTGCGCTGGCGTCCGTTGGCAGGATTTTGGGTCGGAGAGGATTCCACGAGCGTGAGCCGCGTCGATCGGAAGTAGTTGCTCGAGGCGTGAATGCAGGTGCTGCGCGCGATCTTACGCAGGAGGGATAATGGCCGCGCGCAGCGCCGCGCTTCCCAGGTACAGGTCGGGGCGGGGCGGGGCGTCGCCGGCGATCACCGGAGAGAGGGAGCGGCGCCTTGGCTCGTGGCTCCCGCGCGGCTCTGTATCGTGATGGGTGGACCGTGGACGGGCGGTAGTTGGGGGCTTTCAAAAAACAAGCCGTGAAAACCGGCTTTAGCAACAAACTTCCTGACTTCTGACTTCCTAAGTTAAAAAAAAATGACGCTACAGGCGCGTTGGCAACTTCATAAAATGTTTTAAAAAAAGGGAATTGTGGAAGATTAGATGTGCCATACACCCCTTCGTTTCAAAAAAAATTGCACTTCTAGATTTGTTGTAAGTCAAACTTCTGCACATTTGATCAAGCCTATGTAAAAATATACCAACATCTACTCCCTCCGTTCCCAAATATTTGTCTTTCTAGATATTTCAATAAATGACTACATACGAAGCAAAATGAGTGAATCTACACTCTAAAATATGTCTACATACGTCCGTATGTTGTAGTCCATTTGAAATGCTAGAAAGACAAATATTTGGGAACGGAAGGAGTATAATATTAAAATGGTTTCATTAGAATCATCATAACACCAAAACGTGGCTGCCACCACAGTTGAAAGTGTCAAAATGACGAACAATGAAACCTATCTAGAAACTCCAAATCAGGAAAGTTATAAGTGCATCCAGTAGAGCCCGAACTCCTTGCACTCCCACACAGGTAGTTCCAATAGAGGAGGAACAGGAGAGGCAACCTACCATCGAAGGAGAGGTGGTGGCACGTTGCGCCTGAAAATCACCTCTCCTAGCGTTTAGAGTGGAACAGATGAGGAAAAGAACATTCATTTTGACAAGTAGGATCTAAGTCTGAAATTGCTAATGGAGCTCAAGCTCAATAGAGCTCAAAGTTTGAAATTTTCAAACCTCAAACTTTGAGGTTTCAAAATGTTTTGAAAAAAAAACACATGTACTACATTAGGATGTACTCTACAAGTGTGAAAAAACATTTTCTATTTGTGTAGCTCACATCGTAACACATTTCATCAAGCAAAACTACACACTTGCAGCCAACATCCCTATGTACATGTGTATTTTTTCAAAAAAAAGTGACACTTCAAAATGCGAATCTACTCTCCATCCGAGTGTCATATGTAAATGAGTTTACCCCAACCAAACATATGATATTACTAGCACATAAGCCCGTGCGTTGCAACGGGAGAAAAAATTGACATGCATTTTAATAACACAACACCCTTGCTTCGCAACGGACAGCCAGAAGGCCCAAGTCTACGACGTACCGATTGAAACCTAGCGTTTTTTTACGTAGGTACAGATTAGTACCACCTTGGATTTTGGAAAAAATATGGATGTTCTGCAAAAAAAACGGAAAGCATAAATTCAAGGAAAAAAGCATATTATGACGGTGAACCCGAGGAGTCAATCCGTACTTTATTATTATAGCAAACATGCCCGTGCGTTGCAACGGGTGAAAACAGCCCTCACACGCCCTTACCCACTGAGCATGATTAAAGACCTCACCCTCATGCCCATAACATAATAAACATGACTAATACCTCATTCTCAGGTCCACATCTTCCATTCAATATAACACCAGACACATGTTTCTGCTTGTCATATTTGTCGTCCTCGTCGCCGGTGGTCATAGTACCAGTTTTCACTAACCAAGGTTGGCCAGGTCCAACAGCTGGATTGTTGAACCGCCTTCGTGTCCGGCCAAGATCAAGACCGTTGAACAAAGTTTTTTTAATCGGCTAGCTAATATAATAGGGAAAAGCATTGGAATAATATATGTCAGTGTCACCATGTAAAGTGAGTAGTTTGTGTCAGATAGACCATGAAATCTTAGTTGGACTTCTCTCATGCATTTTGACGGGTGTCACTGGGCGAGTGAGACTTGTCGTACGTGAAGACTTTATGGAGAAAAAAGATTCCTTCATATCCTAGTTTAATAAATTGAATTAAAACAATGCATCAGGTGGGCGTATTTCAAAAATTCCCCAAGTTTTATTAATAAGTATAGATTAAAAAATCATGTTTTAAAAAATGTTTGCCTTTTCAAATTTAAAGTTCAAAATATATTTGAGTTTTTAAATTTTTGCAAATTCTAAAAATAATCACAACAGTACCTCCTAGTTTAAAAAAATGTTTGTGTTTTAAAAAATACTCAGTTTAAAAAAATATTTTTCTTTTGAAAAAAAAATCGAGTTTAAATTTTTGTTAACAACTTTGCAAATTTTCGTGTTCTAAAATATATTCACTTTAAAAAGAAATCCTCTTAATATCTGGCGCGATTGTGCGCTTAATTTGAAATTTCGCGCGGCTAAATGAACACCAAGTCATGTTTGGCCTAGTGGTAGCCTTCTGAACGCTTTAGCATGAGTGTCTGAGTTCGAGTCCTTGCAGCGTATTAATTTTTCTTAGAAACGTTTTACTGGCGCAGGCTGTTGGTTCCCTAATGGGCCGGCCCATTGTGGCTCTGCGCGTCTGCTTTTTCTTTTTTGGCAGAAACGAATCGGGAGAACGATAAAACTACCGCACGACAAACCACCTCGGACGTACGAATTGTAAGACCTGTGTGCCGTGTGCGTGCGGAGAACGTGGCGTGGGCCGGCCCAAAGCAGCGCGGTGTCAAACTACAGAAATTTTGACGGACGGACAAAACTACGAACGGTTCCCCAAAGCAGCGTATTGTGACGGTGAACCCGAAGACCCAATCCGTGCTTTATTATTAGGGAGAGATATCTCAAAAACTCTAAATTATCATTCTCTCTACCTCTTTCTAATTGTCTGGAACCAAACCATCTCACAAGTTTGATAGCGATGAGAGTAGTCAATTTTTTTTTATTTTGCGGGCAGAAACTTGTATTACTCAACCTGTCATATGATTAGAATCAGCTCAAGATAACTTAAGAGCTCTCGGGGGTCATGAACCGATCCAAGTTATGGTCATCCCTTCTAGCCGATGAAAACTAGCTAGACAACCATTAACCATTAATGAGGGTAGTACAAGCTTCTTAGGTGTTGGATTTCCTTCACCACAAAAAACACAAACCGATCTATCTGTGCCACTGGACTCAATCAAATTCCGAGCTTCACTAGAATCAACCTCAAATTCAATGGGTGGTTTGGTCCGCATCAAAGCGAGAGACAAACCTCCCATGCATGCACATAACTCTTCTTCAAGTGCACCCCTACACAATTTTTTTTATGTGGGATGAAAAGACTATAGCTCCTTCACCATCTCGAAGGATCATACCTGCTCCAGCAAAGCCATCAATAACAAAAGAACCATAAGAATTGAGCTTCACCCATCCTTGCGGAGGGGCAACCCTGCCGGCTGAAGCTCTAAAAGCGTCATCACATGCGAAGATTTTGTCAAGTGCTCATAACTGACTGCACACCTTTTTCCTTTGCGCGGGTCAGCAATAGGGTCATGTGACATTCCTAAGATGGATTCAAGATAACCGCACGGGAAATTCTTGTTACATTCATCCATGATGGATTTTTCTCATGAGTGATTTCATTCCTGTTATGCCAAATCCTCCAAAGAGTCATCAAAATCATACACTGCTTAGTTCCTTTCAAGGGATCTAACAAGTGAAATAGTCGAATCTTTCAACATGGTGCGGCTAATTTGCTACTTAGGAGACACATCTAATGTATGAACTCAACATGTGGTGCTCCTATCAGATTTCCTATTATTCATAAAAAAAGGAATCTTGATATCGTTATATTTTATCATGAGTGTAGAGATCTTAAAAATGATCATTTTTGGACAAAAAATATATGTATTTCCAGCAAATAATAATAATAATACATATATTGTGTTTTTGAAGTCAATAATATTCGTAACATTTGTCATGAACTTTTACTAAGGTCATTTATTCATACTAGTAAATGCGTACGTGCAATGCACGTTAATATTTAGGCAATATATTAATTGCACGTGGATATTAGGTATGCTATTATTTGTGTGTTAATCCTATGATTAGTGTAATATTTGGCATGCTATTAATTGCATGTTAAACACGTTTAACGCTCGCCATTGGAGCAGTCTAGGTCGTTGGATTGACTTGGTTCGATGGCCGAGATCAGTTGGATCTGCCTCTTTGGGTCTTTTTATATTGGTATAGATATAGATATAGATATTTTTCTCTAGAAGAGGCAATTTGTGCATAAACGAGTCTAATTATTTACATTAGGCCTGGTCGGCAGTGGGCCCCGGCCCTTCGGTCGA